TTTTTTGAGACTGTCTTGCTCTGTCACCCAGGCTAGAGTGCAGTGGTGAGACTTCAGCTCACTGCAACCTCCGCCTCCTGGGTTCAAGTGATTCTCCTGCCTCAGCCTGCAGAGTAGCTGGATTACAGGCACGCACCACCATGCCTAGCTAATTTTTGTATTTCCAGTAGAGACAGGGTTTCCCTATGTTGGCCAGGCTGGTCTTGAACTCCTGACCTCAGGTGATCTGCCTGCCTCAGCCCTGCAAAGTGTTGGGATCACAGGTGTGAGCCACTGTGCCCGTCCTAAAAGAGAATTTTTGAAGTACCAATAGAAGACTCTACCAAATAGGTTACTTCTTAAAATGTGAAGGTAAGGATAAATCAAATCTCATTGTATAACTTACCTACATTACACTTAAAAATATGTAACATCAAAAATGAAATGTTATTTAATACATTTTTTTTTGAGATGGAGTTTCACTCTTGTCGCCCAGGCTGGAGTGCAGTGGTGCTCATTGCAACCTCCACCCCCTAGGTTCAAGCAATTCTCCTGCCTCAGCCTCCCTAGTAGCTGGGATTACCAGCTACTATGCCCAACAATTTTTTTTTGTATTTTTAATAGAGATAGGGTTTTGCCATGTTGGCCAGGGTGGTCTCAAACTCCTGACCTCAAGTGATCCGCCCTCCTCGGCCTCTGAAAGTGCTGGGATTTCAGTCATGAGCCACCACCTCCAGCCATAAAAGGTTTTTAAACATAAAGAAACAATATATGACCTTTGTTTTTACTGTCGATACAATTTTCATTAATATTAACCTATAAAAAGACCAGGTGGCTGGAGGCGGTGGCTCACACCTGTAATCTTAGCACTTTGGGAGGCCAAGGGAGGTGGATCACTTGAGGCAAGGAGTTCAAGAGCAGCCTGGCCTACATAGTGAAACACCGTCTCTACTAAAAATACAAAAAATCCCAGGACTATCAGAGACTGAGGCGGGTGGATCATTTGAGGTCAGGAGTTCAAGACCAGCCTTGGCAACATGGTGAAACCCTGTCTCTACTAAAAATACAAAAATTAACCAGGTGTGGTGGCGCATGCCTGTAATCCCAGCTACTCAAGAGGCTAAGGCAGGAGAATCACTTGAACCCAGGAGGCAGAGGTTGCAGTGAGCTGAGATTGCACCATTGTACTCCAGCTTGGGCGACAGAGTGAGACTCCGTCTCAAAAAAAAAAAAAAAAAAAAAAAAAAATTTGACAGGTGTGGTGGTGGGCACCTGTAATCCCAGCTACTTGGGAGGCTGAGGCACAAGAATCGCTTGAACCGGGAGGCAGAGGTTGCAGTGAGCCAAGATCATGCCACTGCACTCCAGCCTGGTGACAGAGCAAGACTCTCGGAAAAAAAAAATAACCAAAAACCAAAAAATCAGCCAGGTGTGGTGGCATACGCCTCTAGTCACATCTATTTGGGAGGCTCAGTCAGGAGAATCTCTTGAACCCAGGAAGCAGAGGTTGCAGTGAGCTGAGATAGCGCCACTGCACCCCAGCCTGGTGAGAGAGGCTCTGTCTCAAAAAAAATAAAAACAAAAACAAAACCAGGTGTGGTGGCTCACACTTATAATCCTAGCATTTTGGGAGGCTGAGGCAAGAGGGATGCTTGAGCCCGGGAGTTTTAGACCAGCCTGTGCAACATAGTGAGATCCCTGTCCCTACCAAAAAAAAAAAAAAAAAAAATTAGCTGAGTTAGTGGCTCGTGCCTGTGATCCCTACTCAGGAGGCTTGCGTTAGGAGGATTGCTTGAGTCTGGGAGGTTGAGGCTGCAGTGAGCTGTGACCACACGATTGCACTCAGTAACAGAGCAAGACCCTGTCTCAAAAAAGTTAAAAGTACAATAAGATAGATACCCTCACCTCCAATGATACTCCCTCTTAAAAGTGTCTTAACTTACTTCCAGAAGGGAATAGATACATAGATATATAATTTTTTTTAGCTAGTAAAAGGAATCATAGTATACCCTTTTGTTACTTAACCTTGTTTTTTTTTGTAACTTAATAATATTCATAATATATTTTGAAACCCTTTCCTTCTCAGCACACCTAACTCATTCTTTTTAATCGTAAATTGCATTTCATCATTTGTAGTAATAAAATAGATGTAACCAATCTCCCTTGACTGACATATTGATGATTACTAGTTTATTTTTCTATCAAAAGGTTGGTAGGTGGGGCTGAACATTTCAGGCCTCTAATCCTCTAATCAATTGGTCTTTCTGGCGACTGACCCCATTTCTGGTGACTGGACTATCTAGTGGTCCCACTGTAGGTAACCATATTAGTTAGTATAGACTCAGAAGTTATGAAAGTGTCTTGTTTTGAATAACAGAAGACACTGCTATCACTCAGGAAATTCTAAAAGTTTTAAAAGTGCTATAATAGGAACCTAGGACAAAACCAAATATGTTTTATATTATACCACATATACCATCATGAATCAGTTTAAATCTACTACATTTCTCTGTAGCTTTTCCAAACATCTTCATATTCACCTTTGTCCCACAGAGGGCAGTCTTATCCCCTCCCACCCTCAGTGGAATTCATTCGATTTCTTTCATTGAGATTCCTAGGACTCAGAACTACACGCATTGCATTGTTGATAGTTGTTTATATATTGGTGTTTTGCACTCTGAATTCCATGAGATCAGGGACAAGGTCTGTTTTTGTTTTTATTTCTTCATCTTTTGAATATTTATCTATATGCCTAGCCTATAGAAATGAAGAACAATGAAGTCATTTTCCTTGCGTCTCTGCCCCATTGAGGCTGCTCTGGTGCTCTTGAAAACACTATTCCAATGATTTTACTTTTCCTTATAGGATCAGATGATAGAAAACATTTAAATTTTATCTATGACCAAGAAGAGGCAATGAAGATACATATAATTGCCAAAGAACCCTCTGCTAAACGTTAAGAATGGTTTCACGTGGCCAGGTGCAGTTGCTCATGCCTGTAATGCCAGCACTTTGGGAGGCCGAGGTGGACAGATCACCTGATGCTGTCGGAAGTTTGAGACCAGCCTGACCAACATGGAGAAACCCTATCTCTACTAAAAATACAAAATTAGCCAGGTGTGGTGGTGCATGCCTGTAATCCTACCTACTTGGGAGATTGAGGCAGGAGAATTGCTTGAATTGGGAGGCAGAGGTTGCAGTGAGCCAAAATCGCAGTGAGCCAAAATCGAGCCATCGCACTCCAGCCTCGACAAGAGTGAAACTCCGCCTTGAAAAAGAAAAGAATGGTTTCATGCTTTTCAAAATGCCAAAGAAGCTGCTCTCTGTCTTTATAAACTATACCTTGGCCTATAGAGAATTGTTCTTGGGAAGATTGTTCACTCCTCAGGATGGAGATGTTGCCAAGGGGTCTGTAGGATTACCTACTGCTCCAGATACTCAGGAAGTATTCTGAATTTAGGATACAGCTAAAACTCATTAACTTTAGGTACTACCACTTCATTGCTACTGATGAATTTAGGTTTACATTTGCCTTTGTTTAATAAATGTTTTCCTGTGCCACATTTCACATTATTATTATTATTATTATTATTATTTTGAGACGGAGTCTGAACCTGTCGCCCAGGCTGGGGTGCAATAGTGTAATCTCGGCTCACTGCAACCTTGGCCTCCCGGGTTCAAACAATTCTCCTGTCTCAGACTCCTGAGTAGCTTGGATTACAGGTGCCTGCCACCATGCCCAGCTAATTTTTGTATTTTTAGTAGAGATAGGGTTTCACCGTGTTGGCCAGGCTGGTCTCAAACTCCTGACCTCAGGTGATCCGCCCACCTTGGCCTCCCAAAGTATAGAGATTACAGGCGTGAGCCACTGCACCTGGCCCCAGATGAATATTTAAAATATTCGAGAATACAATTTACCTTTCAGCACCTTGGAACACTTTATAGCCATCTCTAGTTGCACGAAAGCAATTTTAACACATTATCTTCTTGAATGAACTTTGGCTGAGGTTGAATTAAGTGGGCAACTGAGTGATAAATTTTATAATTCAGATCTTTGCTACATTTCTCTTCTAGCAGTTGGGATGAAATGAGGAGTGGAAAAAGTGCATGGCAACAAAGACATCACTAAAAAAATATTTGTGGATTAAATAAACCAATAGTTTTTTCTTCTTGCAAGATAGATGAACAGAAATTCATTGTTTAGCAAGGTCTGCCAAGCATGTATTTTTAAGACCTTCTTGAAGTTGACTACTTAACACTTTCAACTCTGGCACCATGGTTCTTGACTCCTACTTTGTTCTTGTTACTATGGCCACATCCTCAGCTGTCACCTAAGATGCTCTTAGGTTTTAAGAAGAACAGATGTATTACCCCACCTGTACATTTACTCATTTAACACATGTGCTGAGAGTTTACAAGGGCCAAACACTCAGGTAGACACAGGGATATCTGAGAAAAAAACCAAAAACCAAAAACCAAGTTTGCTGTACACATGAAGCTTACATGGAGCTCCCATTTGTGCATGTGTGTGTGTGTGTGTGTAGACAATAAGCATAATAAGTTATAAAATATATAGAATGTTATAGCCAGACGCGGTGGCTCACACCTGTAATCTCAGCACTTTGGGAGGCTGAGGCAGGTGGATCACCTGAGGTCAGGAGTTCTAGACCAGCCTGGCCAGCATGATGAAACCCCATTTCTACTAAAAATACAAAAAATTAGCTGGGTGCGGTGGCAGGTACCTGTAATCCCAGTTATTTGTGAGGCTGAGGCAGGAGAATCACTTGAACCTGGGAGGCGGAGGTTGCAGTGAGCCGAGATGGTGCCACCACACTCCAGCGTGGGCAACAGAGTGAGACTCCGTCTCAAAAATAAATAAATAAGAATGGTGCCATAGTAAGAGTAGTTCCACTCATCAGAACTTAAAATCAGTTATTTCTGTGAGTTTCAGCTTCCTCATCTGTAAATGGAGCTATAACATATTTTGTAGTATTTTTGTTTGTTTGTTTTTGCTGCTCCAGTCAACGAAAGAGACACTTTATTGAGGCTCCAGGGAGGCTGCCCTTCGAGGAAGGAAGAGCCTTGACCTTCTTCTTGGGGTGCAGGTTGTTGGTGTGGTCACACTTCTTGCAGCAGTTGACAGCATGGGGGTGCAGGCAAGCATAGCACTTGCGGCAGATCATCTTGTCAAAGTTGTGTTTCTGGAAGAGCTGGCGGAGGGAAGGCTCAATAATGCCACCTCGCAGGTGCAGCACCAGGTGCAGGGTGGACTCTTCCCAGATGTCGTAGTCTGAGAGAGTTCGGCCATCCTCCAGCTGTTTGCCGGCAAGTATCAGATGCTGCTGGTCAGGTGGGATACCCTCCTTGTCTTGAATTTTGGCTTTGACATCCTCATTGGTGTCACTGGGCTTGACCTCAAGAGTGATGGTCTTGCCCGTAAGTGTCTTCACAAAGATCTGCATCTCTGCGTCTGCAGCTCGGCTGCCTCACTGAAGAAAAAGAGGACGGCAGATATTTTGCAGTATTGTGAGGATTAGAGATGAAATATGTTTGCCAAATGTCACAGTCTCTAATTGTAGGCCTCTTTACATAGTAGCTATTAATAGAGGCACATCTGCTCTTGTACAAGTGAGTGAACAATGTGTGCTGGACTAGAAGTAACTCTGGGAAATTTAGGACGAAAGGGGACTAGGGCCCAAACAAGGAATGAGTCATCCAGCATACCTAGCTACCTATTGCTGACAAAAAGCTTTACTAATACCCTGTTGGAGATGAATAGGATGTGAGCTCCGGATCCGCTGATGTATTTATATATCCTTCCACTGCACGGCTTCAGTTCTTTCCAACTAAATCTCTCCTTATCTTTTTTTATTTTATTTTTTATTTTTTTGAGACAGGGTCTAGCTCTGTCGCCCTGGCTGGAGTGCAGTGGTGTGATCTCAGTTCACTGCAACCTCCGCCTCCTGGGTTCAAGCGATTCTCCTGCCTCAGCCTCCTGAGTAGCTGGGATTACAGGCGCATGCCACCACGCCAGGCTAATTTTTGTGTTTTTAGTAGAGACGGAGTTTCATCATGTTGGTCAGGCTGGTCTCGAACTCCTGATCTCGGGTGATCCACCAGCCTCGGCCTCCCAAACTGCTGGGATTACAGGCGTAAGCGCCCGGCCAAACCTCTCCCTATCTTCATGAAACACTCAAGAGAAACCTGTTAACAATAATGACAATTATCAGGATGCTATGTGCCAGGCACTTTCATGAATAGAAATCCCCTTAATCCTTCAATGAGCCTGTGTGGCAGGTATTAGAATCATCCCGTTACAGAAGGGATATTAGAGAGACGCCCTACAGGGTGGACTCAAGAATGTGGCAGCTGGCCGGGTGTGGTGGCTCACGCCTGTAATCCCAGCACTTCAGGAGGCCGAGGCGGGTGGATCACCTTAGCTCAGGAGTTCCAGACCAGCCTAGCCAACACGATGAAACCCCGTCTCTACTAAAAATACAAAAAGTAGCTGGGGGTGGTGGCGCACATCTGTAGTCCCAGCTACTCAGGAGCCTGAGGCAGAATAGCTTGAATCCAGGCAGCGGAGGTTGCAGTGAGCCGAGATCATGCCATTGCACTCCAACCTGGGCTGGGCGACAGTGCAAGGCTCCGTCTCAAAAAAAAAAAAAAAAAAAAAGTGGCAGCTGTCATGGTGCTCAGTGGGCGAGCAAGCACAGGAGGACACCTGGTCAAGTGTACCCCATCTTTCACGGTCCCCGAGTTGGGGTTTGTGCCTACTGGACTTACAGAAAAGAAACTTTCAGGAGTCGTGAAGACCCGTTAGTTGCTTCGGAGGTTATCCTGGGCGTCCTTGAGAGAGGGGGAGTCCTCCTTCCCTGCAGTCTCTAAAGAATGTAGTTAGGAGCCAAGGGAGGTGGTGACCCCCCACCCCATTGAGAACGTCAGGGGAGCTTCCGACTTGAAAAACTAGTTAGACGCTCAGCTTCGGTCAATTAAGCTTATACAAAGAGGGGCGGGGCGTCCTGAGGAGGTGGCACGGGGGAGTTGGGCGGAAGTCCGCCAGCCGCCGATTGGCTGGGACAAATATCCTTTCCGCCTCCCTCCCGCCCCATCTCCGGGTGGCCTAG